AAAGGCTTTATTTTAGACCCATTAAACTTGAACTAACTTCTAGACATATATATTGGAGATGCAGGCCGATTTAGTTTTGAGAATACCTGAAGTAGATATCAGAGTTGTCAGCATGGAGAGACAGTTAAATGTGTTCCTATTGATAAGATTATTTAAAAATAAGTTATAAATGAAGGTCAAGGGAAGGAGGTTAATACTTAAGTCCAACAAAACCCTAACCAAATGTTGAAAGGGGGATGAGAAATGATTACAATAAGAGGAGAAGTAGGAGATGAAAATATGTCACAGAAGACAAGGGCGGGTAAGATGGATAGAAGTGTATTGTCAGTTAAGGCCAAAGCATATGAAAACTGATGGGGGGGTTGTACGGAGTCAGGTGACAATTCTTTTTAGTTTCAAAGAAAATTATTACCTGATTTCAGCAGGTTCCATTTGCATGGCTGCTAAATGCCAAGCTACATAGATAAGCTCTCAAGATAAATATGGTACTTACCAATACCAAGAACTCAAACAATTATTCAAACACGTAAGAAATCCTTGCCTGAAGGTCGGTACATTTTGACCTTTCAGTTGCATAAGCATTTGGTAATCCAGAACCCTAATGCCTCATTAATCCAGCAAATTCATTCTATGATTTCTATCACTGGTGACACATAGAGAGTGTACATGCACCCTGTGAGAGTGCCAGTGTACCTCCTGACAGGCCACATTCCCTGCTCAGGCAATGGGCGGGGGGGGGTGGGGCGGGGATGAGGAGGGCAGGTGGGAGTGCCGGTCAGTGTGATTGGTCACAAGGGGACCCTCCCAGGTTACTGACTGGTCGCTGGGTGGTGGGGGGGGGAATGTGTCCCCCACTGACTAAGGTGGCACCAGTCACCCATGATTCTATGAGAAGTACTTGCACGTAACTGGGTCTCTTCAGCTGTTCCTGGCTGTCTGGTGGTAGTAGAAGGAACCACTAGTCATTGCTGCAGGGTCTCATGTTTCACAATGACTATGGTAAGCAGTCTCTCTCTCCCCCCCTCCCAGTTCCCCCTCCCTCATTTATCAATTAAAACATATCTGACCTGTAGCCAGTCCAACAATAATGTTGGACCTCCTGATGGAGTCTTTAAAAAGTGAATAGATAATATAGCAAGACAGTAACCTATAGAATCCCACATATAAAGACTTTTCTCAAATACTAACGTTTTGGAAAATAACAATCCTACAGTTAGAAGAGATCTTGAATAATGTCAACAGCTGTTGAATCAGTAGACTCAGTTAATAAGTAGAAACATACTATGGCAAAGAATAAATTATTACCTGCCACATGATCACTTTTGAACAATTTTATTTACTTTTATCCAAGTGTTTTGGGCTGTTATAGTGTTCCTTTAAGGAACCTGTAACAATAATGCTTACAAATAGCATGTGTGCTTGCTACCTATTTTCCTGACCTACAAATATGTTTTTCTTCTCTTACATGCAACCTGAGGTCATCTTCATATATGTCTTAGTATGTGCAACTCCAGGCAAAATGATACTTTAAAAAAGTTGCATTCATTTCTTGAACTGAATTGCAGAAAGTAATGGGAGAAAATAATCTTTCTAATGCTTAAATATGATTTGATATAGATGAGTCTGTGTGCAAAGAATGTAGTCTAATTTCTCCTGTGGTTCATAGGGCCTCATTCTCTGGATCCCATTTTTGGCTTTTCCGTAGAAACAGATTGCGTGCATACAAACTGAGGAAAAAACTGTGAAGCAAACCACACACAGGTGGATCCAAAATGTGGAATTTATTTAGGGGATTGGGAATGTGCCAGTGTACCTCAAAGAAGGCATGGGTGTCATCTTTACTAAGATTGTGAAACAGCTATTTTCACAGATCTCTTGTTAGCCAATAGGAATGCATCTCTATGAAATTACTGTTTGTAATAAGACATGGCCAACAGGGCTCAGTGTATAGATTCTTGAAACTGGCAATTAAGATTAAAAATACAGAAAATGTTATATTTTAACTCAATTACTTAACTCAGATGGGGAGTTAATGCTCTCTTCCGACCCTAAGATACATGGAAAAAATAAAAGATTTCTCAGAAGGCTCCAAAGATGAAGTACGTAACAATTGAGAAATACTTTCTACTTAAATTAAGGCTTACTCCTACACTATGTAAAGGGCTACGCATGCTGCTTGGAAATCCCATGGGTTCTTTGATAACTTTGGGGCAATAGAGTAGCATCCAAATATTATGTAGCTTGTTAGGCAGGACTACAAGGGCCTTGTTACACATTACGATGCAAGCTGCTCAAATGCTGCTCAGCTAGGTCAAGTTTTGAGCAGTCACATGTTCCGCTCAGCAAGGGTCTGTACTGTCTGTGCCAGGGAAGCAAGCAGGGAAAGGTTAACTTACCACCCCACTGCCACCACTTGGCTTGAGCCCAGCCCAGAGAACAGTGGTGGTGGCTTGGCAGGCAGGTTAACCCTTCCCTACCTGCTCCCGAAGGACAAACAGTGGAGGCAGCCAGAAGCAAGCAAGGGGGTGGGGGGAGGGGGCGGGAAAGGCAGTGGGCCCAATCTGGGCCAGCGGGGAAAGGGTGAGGTGTTTAATGTGTAGCCACTCTAGGCTATATGATAATGTAACACAAACTAGGGACTACAGGTCAGAGAGAAACCTAGGCTGATTGGTGTAATTTTCAAGTCACCTAAAGAGTGTTTAAAACTAGTTTCAGGTGTGAATGTATGGACAATCCAGGAGTTGAGCTCCAAGGGCTGCCTAAGCTTAACATGCAACAAGGCCCAAAATAGCATAACTTCCTCAGAAAGCACAACTTCATTCTCCCCAGTTCTATAAATCAGCCCTTTGCAAAAATGGCACAAAAACATGGAGGAGGTAGGAGAGGAAGTTACTGCAATCCCCTTGTGTTGCCAGAACCATGGTAGCATGGTTGAGTTTACGCTCTGGAACCTTTAAGCAGAACACTACAGAAGTCCTTTTATACTAGACAATTACACATCCTTCACCATGAAGCATTGATCAGCCATGTAAAGAAACTTGCATGCCAACTCGGGAACTATTAGTTGTTATTCCTTGGAGACTCCTATTTCCAAAGTCAAAAGACCCTCTCTGACAAGAGGACTTCATCTTCCTAAGAGTTCCAAGCCAGGGGCTTTTACTAGAACATCTTAGGGAATTTCAGGAGTCCTAATGGGATATTAGGAAAGGGAGCCTCTGAGCCAAGCACAGTTACCTTTAGAGGGTTGCATTTGTGATCTCACTAACCATTCATAGATGTGCAGTACCCAAAATGCAGTTAAGCTGAAAACAAATTGTTAAAATGAAATCTTTCCCCCCCACCCCAAAATGGCCTAAATGTTATCAAGTATCTCTTTGATGCAATGTCATTAAGCAATACAGATTTTGCACAGCATCAACAAGTTTAACATTTATAACCATTTCATTTTTTTTTTTTGCATTGCCATCCTTAAATATGTACTTTACACTGGGAGTGTCAAAACTCATGTGGTCATATCATCTAAATACACAGTGTGACACCAGTTCATGGGCTGGATAAACAGTTGGGGGCCAGCCCTATTCATGGGCCTGACTCAGCCCATGAACATTCCTCACTCCATGCAGTATGGGTCTCCCGCTCTAGCTGGTTTGCGGCAGATGTTGCATGGAGTGCGAGTCCCAGACTGGCCAGAGGAAGCACCAGATATTGGCATTCAGGGGACCCATGCAGCCCCCCCAACCCCTCAAGAGATGCATGTCAGTTCCAGTGCTTCCCTGCCAGACCAACCTGAGACTGCACTGTATGCAGTGCCTGCCCCAGACTGGTCAGAATGGGTGCTGAATCTGGCATGTAGGGGCTGGCCCCACATGGGACCAGCAGAAGTAGGCAGGAAATACGATCTGTCAAAGAGGAGGCATGTCATTTTTGACAGGCTGTGTCTTTGATCTCCCTGCTTTAAACAAAGAAAATGAAGTAGCATAATAAGTCTATTTTAAGATATGCTAAACAGTCATGAACCCAGTTTACCCCGCATAAGATATCAACAAACAACACATGAAGCTGTGCGGGCCGGGAGCGACCCGAGCCCTTTTCGCGCTGCACGCAGGCTGTGGCCAGCAGCCCGGGCACGCCGGGTCGGAGAGGGAAGGCCGTCGAGCTGGAATTAGGCACAGACGCGTATCGGTAGTTTAAAAGATTGTTTACTTAAACCGAGATGGCAGTGGTGCAGGCTGAAAACTTGCTTAAGTTGTGGTTACAGACAGGAAAGAAAACAAAATTCGAACCTGCAGGGCACGAGGGTACGTCGCAAAGGGTTCCGGCGACGGGAAGATGAAAATACGAGGGTACGTCGCAAAGGGTTTTGGCGACGGGAAAGTAAACCTGCAGGACTCGAACCCGGGCAGAAGAGCTCTGAGATCGGTCAAGGATTCACACGAAGTTTGCTAGGCTCCATGGGTCCTCCTGTTCACTCATCCACACGAAGTTTGCTAGGCTCCGTGGGTCCGGTTCTCTTGCGCGTGGGAAGGGATACGTCTGGGAATCTATCAGCGATGGGGAGAGGCTAGAGGTTGATCAGACCTCTGTTGCCTACTTGAAATGCGCTGGGTCTGTAAGGATCCGCAGAGCTTAGAGATCTTCACACAGCGTGAAGTCTCCTCCTCCCTTGTTCGTGGAGTCCTCCAACTTGGGCGGAAACCACTCAAGCCTCTTATACGGCTAGCAAGCCAATCACTAGCCGCCACGTGTGAATAATTTAGAACTGGCCAATAATGGGACTCGAATTAGCATACAAATGGCGGGAACTCTTTGCAACGAGCATTTCTGTGCTGCAACAAAGAATTGCACCCTGCAAAGAAAGCTTCAAATTGGCGGGAAATTCTCCCTTGCACTGGGGTTCTCTTTTGCAGCAGAAAACTCCACCGTGCAAGGAAGCTGCAATTTAGCGGGGACAATTTAGCAGTGCCGAAGCACACAAAAACAAAAATCACACCCTTTGGGTTGTGACAGAAGCATCATAGACTCTTTTTAATTCTTGGAAATACAATCCTGCAGTATTCATATTTACTGGTCCCAATGGTCAAATTGTTTATTAATGACTGATACTAGAAGACATTATATTCCAGTGGGAAGCATCCATCTGCAAGATCTTCTGGCTTTTGTTCTGTAAGAATGAACTGCCTCCTAGCAACATGAGAGAAACAAAAATTCCTTAGAATACTAGACATAGTTTGCCTAATCATTACAACATTTATTCTAAATAAATGAAAGGAAGTGGCAAAGGGAGTTTTAGATTTTAAAAGTATAATGTGAAGGAAACATGAAAAAGTCAACTAATTTATTATTGATGGTGAACTTGTTTGTCCAAAATAAAAGCCAGCCTACAACTCTGATCAACTTGAGTGAGCCCAGAAAAACATTTATACAATAAAAGCAAGTCCTTTTGCAGTTTTTGTGGTTCTATTTTGGAGCTCAAATAACCATAATAATCCAAGAGGGATTTCCATATTTGAGGGGTTCTCTCATGATCCAAGCAAGCTTTTTGAGGATTATTCTTTGAAATTTCACTCAGAAGAAGGTCCAGGAAAATTTACTTGCTCTCTCCAGATTGAACTCAAAAAAGAAAACAGAAGGACAATGAAAAACCAGTGTTGTAACTTGCATGAGTAGTCTGGATGGCATGAAAATACCCACCGAGCACCTGCCATATTATATATATGTGTGAATTAGTGAAATGCACATCAAGATATGCAAAATATAACCTAATCTTCAAATTCTGCTGCAAAATGCCAGCTCACATCTCATTGCACAGTGCTGATAAGCTTCACAAGTATGACATCCAACATATTGCATTGTTCCTTACAGGCTGTGCTGTATGGCACAAAACGGAAAGAAGATGTGGTCCTTTCCTTTAGGACACCTTTCAGTCAGAGCCATACTTTTCCTTAGTGAACTGTTTTTGGAAACAGAAAGTTAACATGCTTTAAAACAGAGCTATTAAAACATGCCAACTGATCTTTTTTTTCAAAAATTAACATTATTAGCAAGATACAAGGAGGCTATCTAGAGATCATTCAGAAGACTCTTCCTCCATGGAAAAAACAATCTTTTGTTCTTTGTATTCCCTGCCTGTGACCACCAAACACATGTATACAATTAGCAGAGCCTCACATCTTTCAGTGACTAAGGCTAGGTTCAGACATTCAGAAAGCCCAAGGAGGAATCGATCCAAGTTATACATTTTCTGTAAGCAGTATAGTTTAGATTGGTAGTGAACAGAACACACATTAGCCCTTTGGTGGAGGAGAGGTACATCTTAGCCTAGGTTCTGCCATTTTTAAACCAGTCTGTGTGTTGAACTTTTGTGTTCTAAGTATAGACAGGTTTCCAATCACTGATAGCAGTAAATGTGTAATGTCTGTACCTGGCCTATAGAGCTGGGTTTTTCAGATACAGCAGTGAAGAACTGGTGGGGCTACACCAGTGTCACTAGTTCTGCATCTGGACCCGCAACATACATGGCACAACCACTGAGTTAATCAAGGGTGTTGGGGCTTAGTGGATTATAGCTCTATAGTGGCATCTACACTATGATGTGAAGGTGCGATTACAACTTCTGTAAGCCTAACCAAAAGCTAACCTTAAAAATAGCTAGTTTTGGTATCAATACACCAGTCTACCTACCACATAATGTTTCTTAGCCTGACCTAAATACCTGAGAATTTACCCAGGATTTGGACCATGTTTTCCAGCCCATGTTGAACCTCATGATTCCAGAAGCCACACTAGTTTGAAGATACCTTTGGATTCTTTGTGATAGACATATCCTATAAGAGGTAAACTACATTCAAGTCAAGGGATTTTTGTACCCTCACATCTCATTGTTATCTTTCCTCTAGAAGTGGCCAGTACTGAACTGATCCTTTAAAGTCCATAAACCTCACCCCTGACTAATACTGTCATCTTCAAAATGTGATAAAATGTTTTAAATGAACATGCCTAGTTACAACCACAATCAAATACAGCACTTCCAAAAAAGAAAGAGACAAAGAAAGAGAGAGAGAACTCCCATGTGCTTTCTTTCCTATAGGTAGGGGAGGCTATAATAATCAAAACAAAGTCAAGAAACTGTTTAATCATTTGTGTAATCTGTGACCTTGCCGGGTATATAGAATGAACATCGAATTGAAAACATCTCATAGCAAATGAGAAAAAATGTACCTTCATAGTTCATTACTTCATCCATTTTATCAGTCTTCATCTTATGTTCACACGATTCTGAATTCAGTTTCCCCCTGCCCTCTTCTAGTTAGTTCTGATGGTGCAGGGCCTCTAGAAATCTGGGTGTGAGTAAACTTCCTCAGTCACTAGGGAACCACAGATATTTTCCCATCCCAAGTGATAGTTGACTGTTACCATTCCCCATGAACTCTGGATCCATATATATTAATCCTATCTTTGAACAGCAGTACAAATCGAAGCATGTTTGTGGCAAAACACATGACAAAATGAATCATTATTTCAACATAAGAGACATACAGGCACTAAGGCTGTATCCACATGACCATGGACATTTGTTTCCCCAGGGACAATTAGCAGTGGGATATATGGGAGGTCCCCAGAAGCTTTACCTGGTCTGGGGACAACTAGCTTGGGGGAGGTTCCCAGAAGCTTTACCTGCTATGGCCATTGTGCGAATCGGAGCCTGGCTGGCAGCTGGAGTGCAGCTTCAGCCAGCCACATTCCAGTTTTGGGCAGCATACACCACCCTATTTGTGGCAACATACATCACCCAATTTAATTTTTTTTTTGCATGGGTTTTTTTGACCCCTGGATATCCAGGAGTCAACACTCCTGACCCCCATGCTGCTCCCTTGCAGCATGGAGAACAGCTGAACATGTGGTATGCATATGCCACGTATTGCATGACTGCCCCCATCTGGACACAGCCTAAGAGCACAAACAACTACAGCAACATCTCAGCAATGTACATTGACCCGGGGGGTGGGGAGCAGAAAGACAATTCATTATGCATCCTCTCCCTTCCTGCCCCTGGAAACACATCTCTGCATTAGCAACCCACCACTGAGTTTCTTTAGTTTTGTGGGGATTAGCCAAGCATAGAGTTAAGCAAACTTGGGAGATGACAGTGTTGCTTCCTAGGAAACCAACAACATTTTTATAGGAAACTATGGCATCTTTAAACATTAACTCTCACTTTTTCAAATCCTTCCCACTCATTAAAAAAAACAATGAGTAGATTTACATAAACTAGAGCTAGTAATACTGGGCAGTTGCATAAAAGACAGCACTATATCCTCTGCCCATGAATGCCATTTTGGCTTTCACACAGAGCAGTTGAATTATGGATTGGTCCTTAAAAACCATAACAGTTTGAATGCTCTTTATTTTTATGTGAACAAAGTGACTTTCATCATTTTCATGTGCAAGTTAAAATTTATCGATAGCTTCTCTCCCATTAACTTCAAAAGAAAAATGAGATGCGAAATTTATGGACATACTGTTTAAAAAGAGGATTGTTTTTAATGTTTTGTCTTCAATAATGAGTCTAGGTGTTTGCTGCAGGCTTAGGAGGAATAATGATAAAGCATTTAGTTATCAAAGAGAATCGTTTTTAAAGGGTAATCACTGTACATTATGCTGCAGTGGCCTATAGTTTAAAATGAACAATAAACACTTGTCAAACAATATATTATGCTTTCTCCTACGGAGACTTTCTGAATCCATGTTCTTTGTTTCTTTGGATAGTGTTTTATTATTATTTCCTATGGATTTAACATTTGCAGCAGGTTAAATATATAAATGGGGGGAGGGGGTTGCTTTGGAAAAAAACTTGGGGCAAAAAGCACTGTAGGCTATTATTCTTCTTCCCAAATGATATAAACAGATATTCCAGGAGTGGGAAGAAGAAATGGAAGGAATGTTTATTCTATCAAAGTACCCACTTTGTCTGTATCAGGAAGTACACACGGGAAATGAAGGAAAGATATTAATCCTTTTTTTGTCAAATTTACCTCTCTGAAACTGAAATGCTGTCCAAAAAACCAAGGGCATACTGCATATGGAGAACCACTTGTCCTCAGAGTTTTAGGAAAATCTCATTATAGAGCTTAATCTTGCTTGTCTTGATCTGGCAAATGCTTTCCTAGATGACAGGTAAAGCACTACCAGGGAAAACATTTTGCTTTAAAAACTGGATATTATTCCTTAAAAAAAAAAAATATCTAAAGATTATACGATTGCTAGTTATCATCCAATTATTCTGTTTAGAATAAAGCCTTCTTACATTTTAGAGGCTGCGTACAAAATACTTTTAGCTTAATGCATTACTTTTCATCTGCCTATGCCACCCTACTCTAGTACAAAATAAAGCCATGGTTAGAAGTATACCAAGCAAGAATAACCTTTCCAAAGTACATCTTCTTTAAAGTGTTTGTTTTTTTTCCTTTTCTCTATTATCAATTCAAAATGAAACATGAGCAGAGTTCTTATGGCGACTGAAATAGAACTATTTGTATCATTTAAGCAATCAACATGGCCTACTTTTACAATACACTCCCAAAACCATAATAACTCAGATCAGAGCCTGGCAAGAAGAGTCAGAGGGGACTTGGTGGCAATCTATAAGTGTATCAGGGGCATACATCAGGGCCTGGGGGAGCATCTATTTACCAAGGCCCTCCAGGGGAGGACAAGAAATAATGGGCACAAACTGACTTAGGAGTGCTTCAGACGAGACACAAGGAAAAACTTCTTTACAAGTTGAGTGCTAAGGACTTGGAACTGGCTCCCCCCAGAGGTGGTACAGTCATCTACCCTGGTGATCTTCAAAAAGTGTCTTGACGTCCATCTTGCTTGGGTAATCTGATCCCAGCAGTCTTTCCTGCCCATGTGCAGGAAGGCTGGACCGAATGACCTGTAAGGTCCCTTCCAGCCCCTATGAAACCCTATCACAAGGACAACAGAATCCTTCTGACCATCACCTACAGCTCAAATATTTTTGACACATAACCTCCAACTCCTCCTAAAAAATGATGGACATCTCAAGGCAGTACAGGGGGCTTGCATCCTGCAACTTCTGCCACCCCCGCCCCCCAACATCTAGGTCTCAGAACAGACTGAGATGCAAGCTGTGCCCCTCATCAACACAGACTAAATCATCACTGGACCAAACAACGTGGATAACCTCTGAGGTTCATTTCACCTGCTCTTCTACCAGCACCATATATGGCATCACCTGCTTACAGTGTCCCTTCACTGTCTATATTAGGTAGGGTAATCTCTACATGAAAGAAAATGAATGGAGACTGATTTGACATTAATTTCAGAAATAGACAAACACCCACGACAGAGCACTTTAACCTCAGAGTAGCTGTTTTTAGAAACAAAAAACTTTAAAAACCAACCTGAATGTAAAACTGCGGAACAAGAAGTCATCCACAGGCTGATTGTGTAAGCATGGCTGACTGGGACTATGGATTTTTATGCTAGCTGTGTCTGTCAGTGGGTTAACTGCCTTGTTTATCACTATCGACCTATACAACCCACTTTCACTCATCGTTAGTGCCCCCTCCCCTTATCTTTTATATTTAAATTCTCTTCTATTTAATAGCCAGTCCATTCATAGCATCTGAAGAAGTAGACTGTCACTTATGAAAGCTAACCAGTTAGCTCTGAACTAGTTAGTCTCTAAGGGCATTTTAATACATGCTCAGGAGTGAGAGGTTGGTGCTTTAATTAGAGTAGCTTTGAGAGCCGTTCTAATTAAAGTGCTGGCAGTGTCCTGTTTTATACTCCTGTTTGTGATCTGTTTTCTTTTTCAAAAGGCCAAAACTGCTCCTATAACAGCAGGTACCAGAGTTCTCCTTGTTTTTTCCATGTATGAATTGGGCTACATATTCTGTCAGTGTCCCTATGCTTCAAAATGGCACTAGGGGTGCTTTAACTAAAGCTTTTTCAATGAGCTTTAGTTAAAAAAGTGCCCCTGCCACCATTTTGAAGTGCAGAGATGCTGATGCACAAGACGTGGAGGCTGGCTGGAGCATGCTAATTAGAACGCTCCAACAGACTCGGTTAATTAAGTCTGCTCCTATGTGCTATAATTACAGCATTTCGAAGCAGATATGCTGGGAGGCTAAGGTATCACTCTGGCCTGATTCTTTAGCAGTCAAGTAAAGAATGAACAATATAGTGATACTTGGATGTTCCCATTCAGATTAAAAAAGGGAGTATATAATAATATAGTCCTGGATCTTCCATGCTTAAAGCAATCAAAATAAATTGTTTTTGCATACTCATTAAATATATTTTCACAGGTGCTTTGAACTTTCAGTGAAAGAACAAAATAGTTACTATGGGAGGAAAAACTAAGTTCCATAATAAAGATGGTTAGGTAGGCCCCGGTTATATAATTCCAAAAAAATTGATTTTGTTCAAGTAGCATCTTCTACTGTTTCCCACACACACATCTAATTGTATGGATTGATCCATTTCTTTAGTCTTTACTTGAACTTGTGTTTAAAAGTTATTTGATGGAATTTTATGGATTAAAACAATGGCAATTCTGCCTAGCTCTATATGTTAAAAAAGTAATGTCCTTTTACATTTCCTTTTTTCCAGGATGTCTGTTTCAAAATGTCAATATTTTGTCTGAGGTCAAGTTATTTCTATTCTTCTACATGTAAACACATTATCTCCTAGAAGAAAACTAATTTGTCATCAGCACTGCTCAGTTATTTTGATCAGCGACCACTTTGGTTAACACTGGCAAACTGCTGTCATGTCTAAATGAATCCCACCCTTTGAACTTTAAGCAGTGGAAACATGCATTAATTTTCTCTATGTCCTGCAAGACCTTTTTGTTGTGATGAGACTAAGGCTGAAGAGTTGAGACTTCCACTAATTATTTCAGAAGGCGTGTCTGTGCAGAGCAGGAAGTGAAAAGTCTTTTTAAAGGTGAGAAACAGGTCTCTGAAACAATGAGGCCAACACAGGAAAATTCATTCAACCTTGACACTATCCTGGGGAAAGGGAGTGCTGGGACTAGAGGTGAAAGAGGAAGTTTAATGCAATTCATTGGCCTAAATACATGTATGAGAAAACTTCATTCGTTCTCCTGCTGATTCCCTTTCCAGGATTTTTTGCTATGTTGATTTTTGGCAGATATTCTATCCCAGAGGAGCTGGGGCAAAATGGGAAGGGGGGTCAACTGAATATCAGTTGGCAAAAGGAAATTTTGCCTAGCGATTGCTCAGAGAGTGCCTCATCTCTCCTGTACAGCCCTATAAAGGGGTGGAGAGGAACAAAACCTACATACAGG